TGATATGAAGTGGATCATATCATTTCTTGATCAAGGTTGGTGCGTGTGTTACATCAACATTGGAGGAGATGGAATGGAATGCGCAAGGCAAAGGTATAACCTATAGGGCATTTCATTTTACCGGTCAAAGGTGTGTAGAGAAGTTTATGATCAGGTTTAGGATAGATGGTCGTACTATCAAGAGGGGCAAACTTGTTTGCATATCAGTCATCTAGTGCCACTCGAGTGATCTAACTTTGCATTGTTGTTAGGATTGAGTGGCATGGTGAATTAAGTGGTTAACTCCTTAAAATGTTTGTGAAATGCTAACACACATACACATGGTGGTGTACACTTGGTGGTGTTGGCACATTTGCAAAGGAGACAAAGTTGGAGTTGGAATGGATCAACTCGATGAAGAAATGGAGAAGTGAGAAAGTCACTGGGATGACCTGACGCAGTCCACGGAGGGACCAGACGCGTCCGGTGCTTGGCCCTAGGCTTGGCCGCTCGAGCTAAGGCTATCGAACTCTGCCCCTTGGCAGAGACCGGAAGTGACGCTCTACTGTTCCTCGACTGAAAACGTGAAGCAGAGAGGACTGGACGCAGGCGAGAGTCCAGTCATGAATGACTTGACGCGTCCGATCGATGCTAGGAACTCTCGGTGTGGTCTTTGACCACAATCGTACGCTGGCTAGGTCGCGTCCGGTCATGGTGAGGAAGGCGCGTTCAATCCTGCTTTGGTGCGGCGCTGGCACACGAGTGAGTGATGATCGGACTCAGCGACGGTGTGTTCGGTCATCTACAGGGGAGCATCCGGTCATCACTTAATTGTTGGCCCGCGTAGGTGACTGTTGGGAATCAACGCATGGTGTTGAATCGTGGTGGACATGTGGCCACATTCTATGGACTGGACGGTGGCTAGGGCGCGTCGGGTCACTGACCTGTGCGTCCGGTCGCCCTGAATTTTACCTAGTGAAGGGGTATAACGGCTCTATTCACTTGGGGGCTATAAAACCAAGCACTAGACGACCTTGGGCTGGTTGCTGAGCACCCTCATGCCTATGTGGCTTGTGTAGGAGTGCTTGGATTGCCTCTAACTCACTTGTGCTTGCAAGAGTGCGAATCGATTGTGAGTGAGTGATTCTAGTGCGAGTGCATTGTGAGATTGCATCGAGTGGCACTAGGTGATCAAGTTGCAAGCCGGTGGTGCTTATTACTCTTAAAGGTGGCCACCTCCTAGCGGCTTGGTGGTGAGTTCTCTGTCATGACGCACGCAAGAAGATTGTGCGGTGCTCTGGAGAAGGATTTGCGAGGGGTATCGTGCTCACCCCACGGGAGCCACGAAGAGCAACACTAGTAGAGCATGTCATTGAGCTACCCTCACTTGGTTCATGCGGTTCTTGTGACACCCAAAGTGTGGGCTTGGTGTGGTGCCAATTAGCCGCCGAACCACCAAGTGAACGGTCAACACAACGGGGACTAGCGTGTTGGCAAGCACGTGAACCACAGGATAAAAATCACTGTGTCATCCTTGTCTTCCTGTTGGTTTGCATCCCCTTTACACGAGCTTGTATTTACTTTCATATACATTGTGCTTGTGTAGTTGCTCTTGTAATTAGTTAGCTTGTGTAGCTTGCTAGTTACCTTCTTGCTTGTGTAGCATAGAAGTAGCTCCCTTGTGTGACTAATTTGGTTTGAGTAACCTTGTTAGTCACATTGCTTAGTTTGGGTAGCTAAGTAATTTGCGCTCTCTCTAATTTGGCATTAGTTGCCTTGTTATTGAGCATTGCTAGTGAGCTTGGGCTTTGTGCTTTTGCATACTAGTTGTGTAGGAGCTCCCCCGTGCTTGAAGTACTAGTGGCATAGGTTTATGTGACATTGCTCCTAGAATTGGTTAGGTGAACTCTAGCTAGCCCGTCACCTTTGTTGCCTAATTAGGATCTTTATAAGGTGCTTGTGAACTTAGATAGAGAGGTGTAGACTTGACTAGACCGATAGTTTTAATTGCACATTTGTTTTGGTTAGCCGACGTGATTAAATTTAGAAAGGACTATTCACCCCCACCCCTCTAGTCCGCCATCTCAACCCTACATCAAGCAAACAATTGTACTAGTAATTAGCTCAAGAGTAGAGAGGCAAATCAATGAGGGCAAGAGACACACCTGATTTACCCCAAGATTCGATTGCTTGCTAGCAATCTACGTCCCTGTTGAGGCAAGTCCTTGGTCCACCACTCCTCTACAAGCCTTGCAAACCCTCAAGCTTGGTCCTCGACATGGGAACTACTTGTTTTTTAGTCGGTTGGTCAAACAAGGCACTCCAACAAGCCTCTTCATTCCACTAGTGGTTGCTCTTGCAATTTCCACAAGGATGAGCACCAAGCCTCTCACAAATCAATTGATCAGAGCCCCCACACAATCATTAAGTGGTGTTCAACAATCCACAATAGCTACAAGCCATCTAGGTGGCGACAACCACCAAAAGAGTAACAATGAAACCTCAGCCGTCACGCTTCTCTAGTGCCACAAAATGCTACATAACTCTCAAAGCAATACACTAGACCATTCCTAATCTCATCCAAATACAATCTCAAGTGTGATAATGTGAGTGGAATGTGTTCTTGAGCTCTAAAGATGTGCAATTATCAACCAAGGGTGCCAAGAGAGCTAAAATGGCCGCACACCCCTATAATTATAGAGCCCCCAAGAGACTAGCTATTATACACCTTTATTGAACAGTTTGTGTGCCCCTGGAAAAATTCGATGACCACCAGATGAATAACAGTCAGACCCAATGGCTATATTTAGACAATCACTAGCTGTTGTACTAGCGCTTTCTCTAGTGATCTCCCACAACAAGCACCTCAGAAATCTAGTCCCTAACGACCCGCGTCATGAGGAAAATTTTGGTGTAGTCAAAGAATTTCCACCTTCCTTCAGTGATCCTTTGGTGACACCACTAGATAAATCTGATGGGTCTGAGAGCCTTCTGGAGAATGTTCTGGGAGGCACCGAAAACTTTCGGTGACCCCCAGCCACCAACAATGGAGAAAAGGTGACGCCTTTTTAAATCTTTTGCGCATCAACGATCACCACCACATGTAACCCAAAGGAGCCTAAGCTCTAGAGGTGTTGCCCTGGGGGCACCAGAGAAATCTGGTGACCACCCAGTCAACACACCAAAAATTAGAAACATATGGGGTAAAGGGTGGAGCCTTTTCTTTGGCAATCCTGAGGGCCTGGCACCAGATAAATTCGGTGACTAAAAAAACCCTACAAATAGACACTCTCTCAAACATCTTTTCAAATGTGCTAACTCCTAAATGTGTTCCATTGAACACCAACACCTTTAAGCATTAAGTTAGCATTTTCAAAATATTTTCACTTGCTTTCTCACCACATCACTAGGTCTAATGCACATGCATTGTTAGTCATCACCTTGTGGAACTAGATAACCATAGTCGCTTTAGAGTTCCCCTCTTAATAATATGACTATCTATCCTAAACTCGTGTACCCGATCATGCATTCTATTGCACCTTGGCCAGCAAAACAAAGCCCTATTGATATACATTTGCTTTCAGGCTTGTTTTCGTCTCTATTTCTCTTCTTCGTGTTGAGCACTTGCACCATGGTTATGATCATCTACACCATCTCCTAGCCTTGATCAACTCCTTCATGTGAACCTAGCTCAATCATCTTTATTGAAAGCATTGGTCCACTGGTTGTCACTCAATTAACAAAAACAAACTAGAGCTTTCAGCTAGGTAGGTAAGCACCCTAGGATGACGAGTCCTACTAGTTCCGCTCTATGAGTTGAACAACAAGTAAAAGCACAAGAGTAGAGAACTCAAACCATATAAAGGGATGACACAAGATATATCATGTGGTTTAGTGACTTGCCGATCACTTAAGTCCATGTTGAGGTGATCCCAAGGATCACCATTCCTCTACAAGCTCAACAACCCCTTAAGCTTGACACCTACGCGAGTGCTTGTCCATGAGCTAACTCAATAACTAGGTGGTTCTCAAAGCCTCGATTCCACTAAAGTTTCTCTTTGCCTTTGTAGCGAGGATGAGCACAAGAGCCCCTCACAATCACCTTTGGAGCACCTCACAATTTGCAATTGAGTGCTTCGGCGGAGTATCATTGCTCCAAGCCATCTAAGTGGCGGCAACCATCAAGAGTAACAAGAAATCCGCGGTCATACAAATCACTAGTGCCACTAGATGCTATCTCTCAAAGCAAATGTACTAGATCACTCCAATCTCACAACAAATGCAATCTCTAGGAAGTTTTTGTGAGTGGAAAGGTTTCTTAAACTCTAATGGGTGTGCAAGTCTGCAAGGAAGTCTAAGGGTTCTAAAAGAACCGGCCACATCCTCTAATTATACGCCCACCAAAAAAACTAGTCGTTACCCATTCATTTAATGTGGGCACTCACCGGAGAGCTCCGGTGCACCACCAAAGCTTTCCAACAGTCGTATCAACGGATCTCAAAACTAGCCTGCCCTACATAAATGCTTGTTTTCTTGAATCGGTGGCCTAAGGTCGATTTTGAAAACCATCCACAAAAGTATATTTTGACTGTCCTTGAAAATTGTTTGTATAGTATTGGTTTAAAAACTGCGTGCAAATTGAGGAGAAATAAAGTGTAATAGCACCATATTCTCTCTTGCTAGTAGCTACCGTCACATTTTAACAAAATAAAATTACTAGTGTATACATATACTATTGTTGTAATCTACACAACTCAGAGCAAGTAATTGGTTGACTGTTGTTTCCATTAACATATTTTGCTGATCAGAACCAACCCAGTTACTAGCAAATCCCATAGATGGTTGACTTTAGCCTGTTACTCCATCCAGTCTTCTGCTACTTCAGGAACTCAACAAATCCTATGGAGGTCTTATTTGGATGCACGTGTATTCACCTCAATCCACATGTGTTGGAGTGAAATGGAATAGAACTTAGTTTAATTCCACTTAACACATGAAGGCCGGAGAGGGAACTGCATCCCTCAGCAACAGAATGGACAGCATGAACAGCGAGGAAACCATTTTGTCGCGGCTGGTGGTTGTGGTGTTGATTCTGGTCTAGGTGCCGGTGTTGGGGCCTGGGCCGGGGCTTGCTCAGCTTCCAGTGCCTTGTCTTCAACTGTCGGTGCTTCCTGGTCAACAAGAGGCTCTGCCTGCTGTGATAGCTGCGATGTGCTTTGCCGGGCAAGCTCAGGAGGGTCGTCTTTCAGGGATTCACTAGACCTCACTTCACCTGCCAATCTGAAGAAATTGCAGATAATTAGGAATGAATACGTAACACCTTAGATTCAGAAAACATTGGTTGAATCTTTCACCAATGCAAGCACATATTGACAGTCTAATTATTACTATAATCCGCTCTTTAGCGATGCTAACTGAACTTTATATGCAGATACTCTATTTAGTATAAGAGAGTGTTTTTTTTTCTGCTCTACTAGGAAAGACTGAATATAAAAGATATATCCTTTTTTTTTTAAAAAAAGACACTTATTACGGTACTTGTCAATATTCAGTTATTAACTATCTCATGTGTGAAAACACTCCATTTATGATGTCCTGATGAAATAGCTCAAACTTTGAGAACTTGTATATAGTAAATCTTGAGGGATGGAATGCAGAGAGGCCATACATTGGGAACGCGAAGCTTGTTGTGCTAGCATCAGACCGGTGGGACAAGCTATTGTTATAATCAGTATTGTCATCGCCATCGCCCCCAACCCTGGTAGCAGGCTTCACTTTAGCATCGGCCTGTACAGTTGCCACCTCACTTCTCATTGGGCTAGAGCTAGGGCTCAGCCTTGGCAACGGCGGCAGTGGCGCCAATGGGTCATTAGGGTTGCCCAGTTCACCTGATTTGCCATACAAGAAGAAATGATCCTTTGAGAAGCTCGCATTCCCGGCATTGATGCTAAAGAGAGATTCATTTGATGTCACACTCCAGTCTGTTGGTGATTTCGATTTTGACCTCCGGAAAACAGATGACGGGATCCTTTTGGGGTCTGGACACTCATCCGGTGCCCTAGATATGGCCTGGACTGGTGGTGACTGCTTTGGGTCAGTGGGGGCATGACTTGAAGGATGCGAAGAGGAACTGCTCTGTTTTCTAATATCTGAGATTGCTGCATTATCAGCAAACGATAATGTGCTGCCTAGTGTTGGACCCTCTATCTGAAAAAAATCATCCTCGTCTAAGTTTTCTGATGAATTGGAAGACGAGGAGCTTGATTCCTTCTTGTCAAGCTTATCTGCTGGTGTTCCGTTATCGGTTTCGGCAGGGGTAACAGAAGGACTGGTGCTCACTTGTCCATGATTTTGGTCTTCCTGCTGATGGGCCATTGTTTGGTGTCAAGAGAGCTTTCTGTGATCTATCTTTGCTGACTGTTCCTGGGGAATGAAACAAACATAAACTCAAATCTCCTGCTAACAAGATTATTGATTATAAATCTTAACATACTGCGAGTGTGAGCTTCTAGCTGTAACTGCAGCATCTCTTTCCACTGATGTCAGTTTGTTCTGTTGTCTATTCCTATGCAGTTGAATAAGCAAGCTCAAATAATTCTATTGGAAGAAGACAGAAAATTTTTACAACAAAACACAAACATCTTAGTTCTTGAAAATGTACCAGGCATGTCATGTATTTTTGTTTCCTGTTGTGAACCAAAAACTTGTGGAAAAATTGCTGTAGACATATTCAAAGAATCACAAGTACTATGAGAGTCATACTTCATCACCTGGAAAAGTCTTACAAAATTAGAGAATCAATCAAGAAAGCCACACTTTTCATGGTTTCAGGTTTCTTCTTGTTTTCTGGGGAAAAAAACAATACAGTTTCACAAACCCTTGTGAATAGGTTCCAAAAGAAAAGTGAAACGAACAAAAAAAAAGATGCAAATGGCAGTGAATATTGCATATTAGAAAGAACATTCAACTTTTTAATTTGATCGCAGAAACAGAAAATGGCTTACCACATTTGGAAGAAGCATTCAATTTACATGGCCAGCGATAGCCAAGTATTTGTTTATCTTTTTCCCTTCCCCCAGATCAATCAATCTACACAGCAAGTTTAAGCTATAGGGAAATTAAAACAATATTTCCTAAGAAATCAAATGAAAAGGAAACAAGAATGCTCATAACGTAAACTATCAAGGATCACAACATCATGTTTAATTACCTCTTGAGGCCCTACAATACTCGATCGGCTCAGTTTCCAAGCCTTCTTTTTGTTTCGAAATTTTTAGTGACACACAAAAGACGCAACGAAGAAACAAAAGTTTGGAACAAGAGAAGATCAGATCCACAAAATGAAATGTGTGAAAGGAAGCTACATGCAAATATGGAATGGTTGGTTTAAGTGGGATACTGTCACCCACACATTCCCATCCGAAGATCTTGCATGAACACAATATTCTGTTGTCATTTTCCTTTTTGTTATGTAATAAGAAGCAATGCTGGAGAGAGTAGGTACAGGACACTATTATTAGTCTCCCATTTATAAAAAAAAATTATTGCCAGCTTTTGCATAAATGCGTGCTGATTCGTAGAAGTACCTGCATTGTCTAAAATTGTCATGATTTAGAAAAAAAAAACAGTAAAACCCTTTTTGGATGCAAAGTATTTTTGAAATATTGAAGAAATATTATGGTTTTACAAAATACTTTGGTTTTTAAAAGCTACTGGGTGTTTGCAACTGAAACCATTGTTTTGTTAAAACTCTAGTCTTTTTGGAGCTTTAGAAACTCCACTCATGACCTTTTTTTTTCTAAACCACGGTTCTATGTCTATTTGACTTATAAAACCACAGATTTTTTATACTACAGTTTTTTATCATCCAAACTTCAAAGGTTGAAAACCTGCGCAATGATTCTCAGACATAGGATTTTGATGGCCTGGGGTCGGATTCATGCCTGGATGAAAAGCTATCTAATAACAGACATCAAAAGCCCTAAAGTTTAAATGTAACTTAAGTTTTTTCTTAGCTTGCCACACCTCTTCCTCCCCTCCTCTATCGAAAATTCTCTGGTGAGGGCGTCCGTCCAGGCATACCCGTCCGGACGGCCTATTCTTGGGCTTGCGCAATCATCGGGCCCAACAAGCCTGCTCCGCTCCACCTAATTGTTTCACGGTTTCCCGAAAAGACATCGACATTTCCTTTCCCCACCGACGCATGCGACCGCCGCTGGCGCATCCATCGCATCGCTCGCCCGTAGCTCACCTTCTCCGGCCACAGCGGCCTTCTCCAGCGTGGGTGCGCTGCACCTAGCCATCATCCCATGCTCCTCCACACCCCGCGCCGCGCCCCCATCCACCTTGCGCCATCACGGCCGTGGCGTGCACTGCGGCCGACCGAAGACACCGCGGTAGGAAGGGGAGGCTTGCGCCTGGGTGTACGCTGGGTAGCTCTCGGCGCCCCCCTAACCTGAGCTTGCTGGCTACCGTAGTTCCCCACCAGGTAGGCCGTGGTCGCCGGCGACACTGTGTTTCAGCATTTCAGACTTATGTTTCAAGTGTTTCATCTGGATGTTGCAAAAGTAGACCTGGGATGTTGCATATGTTGCAATGACAATATATGCATATTGCAAGCCTATGTTTCCGATGTTTTCAGACGTATGAGTGTTCCATCTGGATGTTGTATATGTTGCTATGGCTCTACCCGCATGTTTCAAGCGTGTCTTTCAAGTGTTTCATATGTTTCATACTTATGTTGCAACTGTTTTTATCTGGATGTTGTAAAAGTAGATTTGGATGTCATATGTTGCTATTGCTATACACGCATGTTTCAAGCGTATATTTCAAGTGTTTCATATATTTCAGATGTATATTGCAAATGTTTCATCTGGATGTTTCAAAAGTAGTTCGGGGTGTTACACGGCGTCGGTGGATCGCGAAAAGCGGCCTAGCGCAGCCGCCTGCTGCTGTTGGGGCGCAGCCATGGGCCAACCCACTTGGGCGTGGGGTGGGCGCGGGGTCCTGCGACGGACGAGGGCGCTGGCGCTGGGCGGGATGTGAACGTGGGGGCATGGGGCGGGATGTGGACGCAGGGTGTGGGACAAGATGCGGGCGGGGAGCTGCCTCCGGACGTCTGGGCGCTAGCCCTTTGCTCCTCTGTCAACCTCACCACTGCCAGAGCGTGCCACCAGAAATCCGTGTACATGGAAGGACAACAGTGGCGAGGTTCTTCTCCATCCATACCCGTTAGATGGATGCATAGCAAGGAAGCGGTTCTTGACCTAGGCGTTGTCAATCCGGTGTCCTGGTGGCTAGATCCGGTGTTCCCCAAATGATTGTAGCTTGAGGTCGTGGGTGGTGTGCACTACTACAATAAGCATTTGTACGGGCGGTTGGCGATGGTTTGTAGAGGCGGCTCGGTCAGCCGCCCCTACCATATCATCTCTACAAATCATGCATTTGTAGGGGCGGTTCCCAGACCGTCCCTACAAATCGATTCGTAGGGACAGCTGGTAACACCAGCCGCATCTACAAAATCGATTTATAGGGACGGCCATAGTATCAACCGCCTCTATAATACCTGTTTGTAGGGGCGGTTCAGTATAGAACCATCCATACAGTACATTTTTCCGCAAAAGAAATTCAAATTTACAATTCAAATTCGACCAGAACATACACACATATATATATATATATATATATATATATATATATATATATATATATATATATATATATATATATATATATAATTCAAATCTGACCACAAGCACAAGAGCACAAGGTGTTGGGACTGAGAATACAAGTATGTATACAAACATATAAGCTAATGGGGATTATCGATATGTATACGTTTTGAGAATCGATATGGAGTAACTGGGTTCATGCACACTGGACAGCTCATGCTCACCTGCAAAAATATAATTAACTGGTTAACTTTACTTGTTAGTAAAGTTAATTCACAAGAATATATACAATCCATCATTAAATAGACATAATTCATAAATCTAATTCGTATGACTGCTTTCATATGATTTCAACTGCTGCATTAACAAGAGCTCTACTAAATCATATGAAAACAAAAGAGACTAGGCCATTAAGTATGTGATAGTCTGACTGAAACTAACCTTATAACCTTAACATGATTCAATTGGCACATGCCCTCAGATCAGTAGAAAATCCAATTCCCTCGACGAGATGATCTCCTGCAAAGAGAAGAGATGAAAAAATGGTGTGTATTCAACTAATGTAGTAATAGAAGTTCAGTTATCTCTTACAGAAAATTAGAACAATATCTAAATGTACAGAAACACTGTTGCTCTAGGGACTTAAGGAAATACAAGGGGATTAAATAGTCCCTTAATGTTGTCTGACCAGGGCATGTAAACTGGTTTTAGGCTGTAATATGTCTGTTGCCATAGCCCACAACAACAGACCTTAGCTATGATGTACTATATAAATAGAATGCGATATACACCTAAGCTGTAGCTTTCAGCTATACCTAAACAATCAATCCAGCGCATTTCAGTGACCTCATTTTGAGTTGGTTCAGATGCAACATTGGTGTTTAAATTGAGCACTAAAATAAAAGATTTGGTGGAAGAAAAAACATCAGCCTGATATAAATGCTCCGTAACATAAATGCATGGTATACAGTTTTCAAGTTAAACTAAGTTAACATGGGGAATGCAATTTTACATGATAGAGTAAGTAGCACGCAAACAACAATCTTTTCTATTTCACTGTAGTTGCAGTTGCACATACAATAGTGCTAGTGGAGTACTCCCTCCGTTACTCAAAAAAATGACGTTCTGGCTCCTATACGCAAAGATGCAAAAAAACGTCGTTATGGGTCCAACTACGGTTTTGTGGACGCTAAAGCCCCTGCCCCATCGATCCATGCATCGTGAATTGATGACGGGACCGTTCGTTCCTCGATGCCGCAACAAACTCGATCTCCTCGATTCCCATCCGTGCCGTTGGCCGCTCGCTCGCTGCTCTCCACTCGCGCTTTAAAGCCTTCGTCGCTGCTGGCCACCGCTCGCACGCCATGGATCCAGCACATCGCCGCTCGCGCTCGCCGCCGCTCGTGCTCGCCGCTCGCGCTCGCCGCCGCTTTCGTGCTTCGCCGCTTTCGCCGCCGCCGCCTCCCGCTTTCGCCGCTTCGCCGCCGCGCCGCCTTCGCCGTGCCATGGATCCAGCCGCCAATGACTCATTGTCGGAGGAGGTGGTGCGGACTCCACGCCGAGTCACAGCAGCCTTCGCCGGACTTCGGAGATGGTGCCGGACTCCATCGGTGGTGGTGCGGACTCCATCGAGATGGTGCCGGACTCGAAGATGGTGTCGGATTCCTTGCCGCCGGGCGCTTTTATATGCGGTAGATGTCATCTCGTCCATGAGGACCGCGAATCACGGAACCGCGCTTTTCGCGGTTCTATCCATGCTCTCGCCGTGGTTTAGTGCACTGTGACTACGACGTCTTCGCGTTCCTGCATGGCCTCAAAGACTTCGACTGCAAGCTTTTCATTCCCGATGTCAACAATATCATGATGGAAGGCAATTGGTGGATTGTACTACCTCCACAGGTGCTCAAGATGATCGACGAGAAGAAGCGCGAGCTTGATGCAAAGAAGAAGCAAGATGTAGAAGCAAGATGTAGAACAACCTCCAGTGCGCCACGGCAAAATTTTCAGTGAAAACTTGCGGGCAGCGCGCCGCGCGCCCCACGCCGCGCCGTGCCAAAATTAGCTTAAAATCGATTACAATGCGCGCGCCATGCGGCAGAAGCAAGCCATGCAAAAATGCACCACTAGCGAAAAAAAAATCGCCCACCAAGCTTCGAACCGAGCACCTCGGCCTTAACACGTCGCTGCGCTAACCGTTTGAGCTAATGGATGTTCTCGTATAGCATGCACCCGCAAGTATATTTAATAGGGGCAGTGAGAGAAAACTCTACCCTAATTAATTACTCCTTGGTATCCTAAATGCTGTCCTAAACGTTATTTTTTTTAAGTAACGGAGGGAGTAAGTACTATTATTGTTCTATCCTATAAATGGCATACGGAAACAATGCCATGAATGCATAAACTTTGATGTAGTATCCCTGCAACAGAAAATAGAAGGTTTCCACTTTCTAGAAAAAATAACACTAGAAGTCATAGAGGAAATCAATTCTCTAAAAAGCATTATAACTTGCAGCATACCTTAACACATTTGACATTATATATTGGTGATTCTGAAAATAAAAAATCTGACAGAACAATTAATTTTGCTAGAATTACATAAATCAATTACTGAGATGCCAGTACGATTCTACAACATTAACTGAAACTTTTAGTACAGCCCTTTAAGCTACAACATTAACTGAAACTTTTAGTACAGCCCTTTAAGAGGAGCCACGTTTTAAAACTGCATCAATGCCTGAATTTGAAGTACAGTTTTAACACCTTTAAAAATTTTAACATGATGAATCGGTGATTCTAAAAATAAAAAATCCGACAGAACAGTTAATTTTGCTAGAATTACATAAATCAATTACTGAGATGCCAGTACGATTGTACAACATTAACTGAAACTTTCAGTACAACCCTTTAAGATGAGTCACGTTTTAAAACTGCATCAATGCCTGAATTCGAAGTACAGTTTTAACGCCATTAAAAAATTTAACATGAGGAAATAAAAATCATAAGGAAGCCAAAGGACATTAGACTTCTATGGATGCTGGATTTTTGGGACAAACCCCAGATCCATGGAGATTCCAAGTTCTAGAAGGAAGACGAAACAGAAGAAGTGTTAGGGTTTTGGGTACCTAGGTACCGATGGATTGGGCCGCCATTAGAGGAGCAGTCATGGATCCTAACGAACTCACATGAGCCACCAAGGATCCTGTCGCCCTTGCACGAGCGGCCATGGATCCAGCCACCCTAGCCCCAGCCGCTGACTGTGTTGCGCCCTTGCCGCCACGGACGCCGAACCCTAGCGCCGTCGCCACCGGAGGGGAAACAACACAAGGGAAAAAGTGATGTCAGGGCAGCTGCTGCTGCGTCGTCACCAGGCGCAGGGCCTCCATAGGCCCCCACTGCTTGCAGATCTTAGAAGATGAATGGGGTGGGGAGGGTTCGTATCGAGAGGCGAGGAGGAACCGAGGAGGGAGACAGAGAAATAGGAGCCCACAGGCTCTCTATATGGCCACGGACGCGAGCCTTCGATCTGCTAACTGGGTTTCATAAAAATTTCGGGTCTAGGACAGCTCTCTATGTCACATACCACTGATTAATCGACGCATTTGTAGGGGTGGTTCGTATCACCAGCCGCCTCTACTGTGCTATTTGTAGGGGCGGCTGCTGTGCTGGAGCCCGAGCACGTCACTATAGGGGCGGCTCCAATGCTAGGCACCCCTAAAAAAATCCCGTTGCTGTAAACTATTTTTCACGTAGTGGTGTGCATGTCTACAAGGTCGTATGGGGGTGTGGTGATGGTTGGTGTTGTCATGTCGGTGGCGGTTGGCCACGGACGGGGCACACGATGGTCGTTTGGGCATGTCCTTGTTGTGAACGAACACGGCCAGTTCTGAATTCTGTTCATGATGATACTTTGTGCAGTCTAGTTTGTGCTTTCATTGAGTCTTTTTCGCATGTAACTCTATCCCAGTATACTGCCGTCATTTATACTCACTCTGTCCTCTAATATAAGGTGTTTTTTAGTTATTCTAAGTCAAGCCATCCTAAGTCGGATCATATCTGCAACATCATAGCTAAATTATGAAAATACGTTTCGTCATGTATCTAAACTCTAAAGAGCTCATTTGATATTGTACATATAGTATGTCTTTTATACACCAAACTTAGGATGGTTTGACTTAAGTCAACTGAAAGTCCATTATATGTTACAAAAATACCCTCGTCAGGGCATCAAATCGTCCGGACGGTCGTGTTCACGGGCCACCATACTAGCCCAATAGTCATATCCTCTTGTCCACTTGCCTCCAACCTTATCTTGCTATCTTCATTCTCCAGAAGGCTCTCGACCGTAGCGTCGCAATCGTGCGACCACGCTCCACACGCGAAGCTCCATCGCTGAGTTTGAAGAAACGGAGGGCGACTCTGCTTTGGTTGCCGCCCCATCGCGCCCCCTGCCCGATCCGCTCCATGGCTACGGTGTCCCTTGGCTGTTTCGCCGACGACGCGAAGCTCCATCACCGGGCTCGAAGAAACGGAGGGCGGCTCCGTTCCGACTGCCGCGCTCGATGGCTATTGTGCCCCCTGGCCGGTCGCTCCACTACACCGGCGAGCTCTACACCGGTGAACTCCACACGCCGACGAGCCTCCATTGCCAAGCAGCAAGGAGATGTTGCGCTGAAAGCGCATGTTGCAAACATATGTTTCAGAGGTATGTTGCATGTGTTTCTTATCGGTATTACAAAAGTAGATTGGTATGTTGCAAAAATAAATCAGGATGTTGCACATGTTGCAATGGCTATGCACGTATGTTTCAAGTGTATGTTCCAAAATTTTTATCCGTATCAGATGTATATTGCAAGTGTTTTCATCTAGATGTTGTAAAAGTAGATTTGGATGTTGCATATACTTGCATGTTACAAGCGTATATTTCAAGTGTTTCATACGTCTAAGTGTTTCATCTGGATGTTGCATATATTTTGCAATGGTTTTCAAGTGTTTTCAGACGTTTTCGCAAGTGTTTCAAACGCTTGTTTCAAATATTTTATTTATCTTCTTTTGTATGTTGCAACTGTTATATCTGGATGTTTCAAAATTGTTGCGCATGGGATGCGCGTGAAAAACGGCTAACAGCACGGGCCTGCTGCTGGGGCATTTGCTTGGGAGCCTGACGTGATAAGTCGCTCGCTCGCTGTGCGGACACCGTCCGGACGCTAGCACCCCGAATCGGACATCCGGGAGCTAGCAAGTCCGTATATGTAATGATTGGGGCTCAAGTCACACTGCAATCCAATTTAACGAAAAGTAGCCCTTAGCACAACCCGGAGCTTCATAGCGAACTATTATTATTACAATGTATAGTTGTTATACCATCTAAGTGCCTTGGCCTAACGGCAATCGGCACCAGTACACATTATTAGCCAAGTCAATGTAAACTTCAGCCAGATTTACAGCCTAGACTGTGTCCCTCCAGCAACAACAATTGTTTCAGCTGTCATGTATGATGCATCGTCAGATGCCAGGAATGCGGCAGCCGCAGCCATGTCCTCCACAGTACCCAATCTCCTAAGCTTGCTCCTCTCGTTAAGCTCTTTCCTCTGCAGAATGATTTAGGTTAGGTACATGCATTTGAATGGAAGGAATAATAAGCTGGATGAAGTCTTGAAAGGAATAGGTGTGAGTCAGTTTTTGCGCCAATATAATATGACATTCTAGGCAGGAACCTCAGAGACTATCTTAAAGTTTTGTGCCTAGGTATCATAGGTAATAACCCTCTTAACACCGGCACATGGATAATGTCATCTAATTTAAATACCCCCTTCTAAACCATCCTTTCTAGCAAGCCATTTCTAGCTTTTGAAACATGGAAATGAAATAGACAGTAGAAAAGAAACATGCTAATATTAAAGATCACATCTGACGTTTAGCAATCAGATAATATGCAACAATTAAATCAGACATCAGACAAGGAAAATGTTTGAAGGCAATAACAAAAATTGAAGTTCAGATCAGGGTAGCCTTCACTTGGCACAATAGAGCATTCAAAAGTTGGTTTAGTGCATTTTGAATTGTGTTTCCATATATTTTATTTTCCCTCTAAATAAACTATGATCCACATAGACATTAAAGAATATATAGAACAATGAATTTTTTAGGATAACGAGGAAACATTATAACAGTGTCAAATGTTTCCTTTTTCGTTAACCAATCATTGAAACATATGAATACAAACTATGCAAGTGAAGACAGAAATCACTTACAATGCTCTCATTTTCTGTGAGGAAACTAGCAAACCGTGTAGGAACAAAACCAGGGGCTATACAGTTAACACGAGTATTGGGTCCCATCTCACCAGCAAGAGCCTAAAAGGTAAAGATCAATAGCTCAGTAATAAAGTAAAAAAAATAGTTTGCCAGGTTAGAGCATCTCCAAGAGTACCTAAAACACACTCCTAATCTTAGATTTTTAGAAAGATTAGAAAAAAACTATCTCCAACAACTCCTAATAGTACCTCTCAATCTTTTAGCATTTGGGAAAAAATCCCTCTTTGCGCGTAAAGTTACGCAGACTCCAGTCGTGCGAATCCCCTACGTTCCGGTTTCTCCGACGATCTTCTTCTCCTTCACCGTGCCTCGCGAGGCTACTCGCGCTGTGGCTCCTAGCTTGGCCGCGTGGCCGCAGCATCCTCTGCTCGTCGCGCCGCTGCGGATCCTGCTCGCCGGCGCGCTCGTCGTGGCTCCAAAGCTCGATCGCGCGGCCCTCCGCTCGCCTGCATCGGTGCGGCTGCCGCCGGCCGCGCGGCCCGCTGCTTGCCCGCGCCGATGCAGCCGCCGCCGCCGCGCCCTAGGCTCCGCGTCGTGGCTTGCCGCCCTCCCCGAGGGTCCGCACGATCTCATACTTCCCAGCAACGACTCCCACGTGCACTCCGGCCCCGCCCGCTCGCCGTTCACCATTCACAAACGCACACGCGCTGGATTGCCTAGAGAGTTCGTGAATCTCTATCTCTCTCTCGCTCGCTGGAGCTGCCGATCGAGCTGGGCTCTGAGATGGAACCGGCCAGCTGAGGAACGGAAGGGCAGGCTGTACGTGCCTGTTCTCATAAAGAAGATGATCGTATTTACGAAAATGCCATTGAATGATTGGAATATGTTTTTGAAATATGTTTTTAGGAGTGAATTATTAGAAACTCTTGGAGATGGCCTTATTTATTCCTTCCAAAAAAATTTTAGGAGTTGGAAAACACCATCTTTTTAGGAGAAAAATATTAGGTACTCTAAAAAAATCGTGCAAGACTCCACCGATGCCCAAGGCCACTGGAAAATGATAAAGTGAAAAATGGCTACTGACGAACAAAAATCAGTTACAGCAAACAAAGTGAAAAATGAAAAAAAACAGATAAACATATACCTTTGTGAGACCAAAGAGAGCAGTCTTTGTGACACCATACATTGTCAATCCTTGTTCTGGATTGTAACCAGCAATTGAAGAAATGATAATCACAGATGACCCCTTCCGTAGGTGGGGAGCAGCATCCTGAAAAACATTTGGTAGAGGAAGAGAATGATGTCAACTTTATTGGTACAGAATGTAAAGTAGGTGGGAGACTTTGCTCACCTGAAGAAGTAGGATAGAAGCCTTGACGTTAATATCCCACAGCTTATCGAGAACAGCCTCTTTCATTTCAAGTATGCCATCTACAGTAGGATTTGCAGCAGCGTTGGAGACAAGAATATCAATGTGCCCAAAGCTCTGCAACAATACAATCAGTTGATTACTACTACAAGAATCGCCACATGCTCAAATGCCTTACAGTTACTGGCAAAGTCTATAGACGCCGTAATGGCTAGGCTCAACCGTGTGCCAGGCTGGGCACGGTCACCAGGGGCGCACAGGTTGGAGTTTGGGTTAGTTTGGATTGGTAGTCATTAGAGTTTGGTTAGTTGAGATTACAAAGTCCTAAAAGATAGGGATAGTGGTTAAGTTGAGTCCTATATGTATCAAACTCTATGGATCAGTAAAGGTTAGCCAGGGATTGAAATTATATCTCCCATTGGCCCCCTGGGCAACCACGTCTTCTTCCTCTCTCGCAAAACCCTCGCAGCGACGGCGCCGAGCACGGTGCCGCCTGTTCGTCGTCCTCGCTTCAAGCCTCGTCCACCCCTCCGCCACAACTATAACCTCAGAAGCCTAAGCTCTCACAACCTGGTATCAGCCATGTCTACTCCTGCGGCTGCCGCTTCCATACATATAGGACTCAACTTAACCACTATCCCTATCTTTTAGGACTCTGTAATCTCAACTAACCAAACTCTAATGACTACCAATCCAAACTAACCCAAACCCCAACCTGTGCGCCCCTGGTGACCGTGCCCAGCCTGGCACACGGTTGAGCCTAGCCATTACGGCGTCTATAGACTTTGCCGATCATAACATCACTCCCCCCCTCGGCAAACGGCTTGTACTCAAGCTGAAAGGAGGGAAATTCGGCGCAGAAATCGTCAAGTGGTTCCCATGTTGCCTCCGCTGGCGGAAGACCTGCCCACTTGACGAGCACATGCCAGACCCCGCGACGCATCTGTGCACGCAATGCTTGATCCGGTTGGAGCAGGCGTCGTCCCTGGTGAAGCGGAGGCAGAGCTGGCGTCGTAGACGATGGAGGACCTCGGAACGGCTTCAACACCCCAACGTGGAATACGTCGTGAATCCTGGCTCCTGCTGGCAGCGACAAGCGGTACGCCACCTCGCCGATGCGTTCGACGATCTGGTACGGCCCGGCGAACCGAGGGCTGAGCTTGCCGCGACGCCCCAGCAGCAGTGACTGTGTCGGACGATGAAGGATGCGGAGCCAAACCCAGTCACCCACCTGAAACTCCAAAGCACGATGAGTGCGATCATATTGGCACTTGGCGTACTCCTGAGCCTGGAGCAGCCTGGCGCGCACATCAGCGAGGAAGTCATCTCGGTTCTGCAGGAGGGCGTCAATAGCATCTGTGCTGGAGGAACCGGCAGTATAAGGCAGCAAGGCCGGTGGTGGTCGACCATACACAACCTAGAACGGCGATGTGCGGAGAGCTGAATGGTAGGACGTGTTGTAGCAATACTCCGCCCAAGGAAGCCACTCAAGCCATGCGCGCGGGCGGTCTCCTGTGATGCACCGGAGGTACATAGCTATAGTCTTGTTCACCGCCTCCGACTGATCGTCTGTCTGCGGTTGGAATGCTGTACTGAGTCTGAGCGTGACATCGGCAAGCTTAAAGAGATCACGCCAAATGTGGCCTGTGAACACCAGGTCCCGATCACTGACAATTGAATTGGAGAACCCATGGAGACGAACGATGCCCTCAAAGAATGCCTTGGCCACTGATATAGCTGTATACGGGTGGCTGAGGGGTATAAAATGAGCATGTTTCAAAAATCTATCCACCACAGTCAGGATGACACTCTTTCCATGCACCCGCGGAAGCCCCTCAATGAAGTCAAGAGCTATGTCTGCCCACACCTGCGAAGGTACCTCCAAGGGCTGCAAGAGCCCGGCTGGTCGGAGGGAGTCCACCTTGTTCTGCTGACATACGGCGCAAGAGCGGACAAAGTCACGGACCAGCCCGCTGTCATGCTCGATGAAGAACTCAGAACGGAGGCGCTGCAAAGTCTTCTGGAACCCCTCATGGCCTGCTGAATGAGCAAGGTCCAGCACCGTGGGCACAAGCGGCGACCCAGCTGGAACGAACACCCTGCTGCCGTAAAGTATAAGCCCATCGACCACGCGCCACGGCGCGTCGCGCTGGGCGACACCCGTGTCCCGGAGGGCGCGCAAGTCCGGGTTCTCCTGTACCTCTCTTCGTAGCTCATCAAATAACTCAAACGACGGACCAGAGATAGCATGAGCAGCTGGGTCGTTGTCGTGACGGCGGGAAAGAGCATCTGCCACTGTGTTCAAGCTACCTGGGTGAAACTCCACTGTGAAATCATATCCGAAGAGCTTAGTCACCCAGTGATGTTGCGGCGGCGTCGACAAGCGCTGGTCCAGCAGAAACTTGAGTGCGTAGTGGTCGGTGCGCACCACAAAACTGCGCCCCCACAAGTATGGTCGCCAATGTCGCACGGCCTACACGAGGCCGATAAGCTCACGCTCATATGCCGCCAGTTTCATGTGGCGCTGCGCAAAGGCCCTGCTGAAGAATGCAATTGCACCGATTCCCTGATGAAGAACAACTCCAAATCCGGACCCCGACGCATCGCAGTCTAGCGTAAAGGGCCGGTCAAACGCCGGCAGCTGCAGCACCGGCGCTGTAGACAGTGCCCGTTTGAGGGCTTCAAACGCCAAAGTAGCCTCATCCGACCAGTTGAACGCGTCGCGCCGAAGAAGCCGGGTCAGGGGCGCCGCGATGGCGCCGTAATCCTTGATAAACCGGCGGTAGTAGCCGGCCAAACCGAGGAAACCGCGTAGGCCGCGCGCCAAACGCGGTTGCGGCCATGTCGTGACGGCGTCCACCTTGCTGACGTCCATGGCCACACCTTCAGCCGAGATCACATGGCCGAGGTACGCCACTGAGGGCTCGGCGAACGAGCACTTGCTGCGCTTGAGCCACAGCTGGTGTGCACGGAGCGCTAAGAGGACCGCCTTGACATGCAGGAGATGCGTTGTCCACGACGGGCTGTAGATCAAGATGTCATCAAAGAAAACCAAGACAAACTTACGCAGGTAAGGCTGGAGGACGACGTTCATTAGGCTCTGGAACGTTGTCGGCGCATTGGTGAGGCCGAACGGCATGACCAGAAACTCGAAGTGGCCATGATGTGTCCGGAACGCCGTCTTCTCGATGTCCTCTTGATGCATCCGGGCCTGATGGTAACCGAAACGAAGATCTAGCTTTGTAAAGAACCATGCGCCGCCAAGTTCGTCGAGCAGCTCCTCCACAACTGGGATAGGGAACTTGTCCTTAACCGTGCGCCCGTTCCGAGCCATGTAGTCAACACAGAAGCGCCAGGACGCATCTGGCTTCTTGACCAACAAAACTGGAGCCGAGAACGCCGAAGTTGATGGCCGGATAAGCCCCTGATCTAGCATGGCAGCACACTGGGCCTCGAGCTCGTCCTTCTGAAGCTGCGGATATCTGTACGGCCGGACTGCTACGGGTGCTGTGTTTGGCAACAAGTGGATGCAGTGATCACAACGTTGAGCCGGTGGCAGTCCCTTCGGCTCCACAAAGAGGTCGTCGAACTCCTGCAGTAGGTTCTGTAAGAGGGCCGGGTCGTCCGGTTGTATAGCATGGAGCCGCGTCGACTGAACGTCATCCCGTGTGGAGCCGATCCCCCTCCAGAAGACACGGTGACCGGCCCTTGTGAAAGCCAGGAATAGGTCGTCGAAATCCCACAAGATTGGCCCCAATGTGCGAAGGAACTTGATGCTGAGGACCATGTCGTAGCCATCCAGCAGAATAGAATAGCAGTCCACCGTGAACGCTTCATCGGCAATCCTGATGGCGACGTCTGTGGCGAGGCCGCTGTATGCGACGCGGTCTCCGTTCGCGACGAGCACGCCCGCACCCGGGCATGGCTGGAAGTGGAGGCCAATGCGGCGACTGATGTCCGCGCGCACGAAGTTATGCGTCGACCCGGAGTCCAGGAGGGCGACAAGCTGTGTATTCCTGACCTGAACGTAGAGCTGCATCGTTGTTGCTGTTCGAATGCCGGTGATGGCATTAAGCGAGATCCGCGGGGCCTCGGTGTCGATCGGGGATAGTTCTGCCGCTGCCGTTGTGGATTGGACTGACTCATCGCTTTCCTCCGGCTCCTCCACAATGTAATCCGAGGCCTCCAAATAGAACAGGCGGGCACACTTGTGACCATGGACATACTGCTCATCGCAATTGTAACAGAGTCCTTGCTTGCGGCGCTCCGCCATCTCCTCCGGTGATAACTTCTTGAATGGCCGTGGAGATAGGCCTGAGGTGGCCGGTACCACTGCTGATGCTGAGGACGACGCCGTGGCGGCGGTCAAGACACGGCGGCCAGGGCGCGCCGGTGGTGCCGGTAGAGCCAGCTGTTGTGGCCCGTTCCGGCGTTCATACGCGCGCGCTAAGCGCATCGCCTGCTGCAAGTCACGCGGATCGTGTAGCTCGACATCCACACGGATATGATCAGGAAGGCCGCCGGTGAAGAGCTGTGCTTGCTGGTCCGGCGAGAGGCGGCCTGCATGCGCCAGTCTTGCCTGGAACGCGTCCAGATAAGCTTCGACATTCGACGAGAACGGCAGCCGTGCCAAGTCGGCGAGATGGTTGGTGCTAAGGGGAGGCCCGAACCGCTGCTGACAAAGCCGTCGGAAATCATCCCATGTCGGCCACCCGGCGTCCCGCTCGAGGACGGTATACCACATCTGGGCTTTGCCGGTCATGTGGAAGGACGCGAGCCACACCCAATCGACGGCCCGGGTCTGCTGTCCTCGAAAGAACTGCTCGCACTTGAGCAGCCATCCCAACGGATCGTCCGCCCCATCATAGCACGGGAACGTCAGCTTGTGGTAGCGCGGCACCGCTGATTGTTCAGGGTCTAAAGGCCGGTGATGCACTGATGTTGGCGACTGCATCGGGGCATGTGATCCAGAACCTTGCATGATCTGTGACAGCGAAGGTACTGGCGACGGGGACGACGGGAAGGAGATCTCTGTGATCGGCACGCCTTGTGACGGTGGCGGCGCCGAGAACCCCCCCGGACTGGCAGTGGTCGCCATCGGTGATGTCAGCATGATCTGAGGAGCCGGTGAGGAGAACGGCAGCTCCCGCACCGGTCTCGACATTGGCGGTGGGGGGAGACCACCATAGCCTAGCAGCCCGTACTGGAACGTTGAGGAGGAGGGCGGGCTTTCAATCGCAGACACGCACAGCGACAATTCCGCGGCCTGGCGCTGCAACGCGCCCATGGCCGCTGTCATCCCGTTGAACGCCTGGGCAAGGTCAGCCGGTGAGAAAGCCGACTGTAGCATGGGCACTTGTCGCCGAGACAATGGGCGCTGTCGTGGTGATGACGGCGGCGGAGCTAACGGGCGCGGTGACTGACGGGGTGATAAGACATGAACAGAAATTAAAACACTGTACAACATGCTCAACGAAACAAGTGATTTGAGATAATGAAAAAGGTACACCTTAGACACAAACGAATAAGACAAGGTATGATCCCTGTGTGTCGAAATATTAACAAAATAAATGTAAGTTCAGCTAGCCATCAACCTGAATGTTACAAGATGAACAGATAAAAAGAGAAATGACACAATCTTTTGGCTTCAAACTTTCACATGATAAAGATATGCCACATTACTGTTCATTGGCTTGGAAAGCTATTGACTCAGCTAATAAAAATGTGTTATACTCATCATTGAAACTCCAGTAGATATTTTTATTACTGAGGTTGTCTTAGTTCTTCATTTCATAAAAAAAAAAAATTCTACTCTAGTGCCATTATTTGCACTTCTGCACAAACAGATTTCACTATTACCTAACTTAAAGCTGCTATCAATGCCTGTGTTTTACCAACAATGAATCCATGTTTCCTAGTTCAGGCAATCCCACTGCACCGAGAAATGGATTAAGCAAACAGCGAATAGTCCTTCCTTAAGAAGATGATCAAATTGGGCTTTGATGGAAGATTAGTTCATATTGTCATGATATGTGTCTCTACAGTACCATATAAGCTCAAAGTAAATGGTGAGTAAAACTGATGAAATTATTCTAATATAAGAGGTTTAAGACAAGGTGATCCAATATAACTATATCTATTCTTAATATGGGCTGAAGGTTTTTCATCCTTGCTCCATGCAACTGAAGCAAGGGGGGACCTGACCGGAGTAAAGATATGCCAACAAGCGCCGAGCATTAACCATCTTTCGTTCACGTATTGATTCGCTGGTTCTCCTGCATGCAAATGAACGGAGTGCACAGCATCTACATCATGTACTTTCACTGTATGAGTCTTGCTCGGGGCAGACAATCAATAAAGAGAAATCCTCGGTCATGTTCAGCAAGAATACCAATGAAGTGAATAAAAGGAAGTTTATGTCAGCACTTGATATTAGGAGTGAAGCAAGAACTGAGAAATATCTAGGCCTTCCTATATATATGGGCAAATAAAAGTCAAAGGGCTTGAGCAACAGCCTTCGACAACAGTTTTTCCTTCCATTCCTGAATTATAGCCCAAATTCGTTCTTTGAGATAGACAAAGGTCCTGCTTTGATTTAACAAAAACTCTTTGTGATGAGATTAGTACAATCAGTGGCGGAGCGTGACGCGAAACCACGGGGGAGCCAATTAGCAAAGCCTCTCACAGCAATAGTGTAGACAGCGGGCATGGCAATTGTGCAGACTGTTAACGCGAGCTGTGAGCTTGGAGACAAAAAACAGCAGCAATACAAGCTTTTGCAGCCTGCCTCACTTTTAAGAATAGAGAGGCATGAAACCATACTGTGTTGTGTTGGTCTAGGACTCTAGGTAGTTGGCAGAGCTTTGTATGTTTTTGGCTGTCATAGTACCAATAATCACTAATAGATTCAGACTTCCTTGGGCAGACGTATCCTTGAGGAAGAAAAAGATAACAGGCCCGAGTCCAAGTGCTTAACGGAATGGAAAATGAACTGCCAATTGATGTGATCAGTTAACATGCAATGCATGCTTGCTAGGCAAGGATGGAGATTACTCATGAATCCTGAATCCCTTTGTGCTCAAGTATTGAGAGCTAAATATTTTCCTGATGGTCAGATTTTGAAGGTGAAAGAGAAACCTGGGATCTCTTACTCTTGAAGAAATATTGTCAATTGTGCGAGAGCTGCAGGCGTTGAAATCTGGCCTAATCTAGAGAGTTGGTGATGGCTTACAAATTGATATATGGGTGGATCCTTGGATCCCAACGGGGGTCATGCGAAGGCCAGTAACACCAAGAGGTAACAGTCCTAAACAAAGTATTTGACCTCACAGATCCAATCATCAGGGCCTAGGACACTAGTCTTATTCAGGACATTTTTCTAGGAGGAGGAAGTGAACATTTTGGCTATTCTTGTCCGTTGCGAAAGCGATGATACAGTAGCCTGGCATTTTGATACCAAAGGGACCTTTTTCGGTCAAATCGGCTTACCATGTCCTTGAGGATCAGAGAGAAAAGGGCGTACCCAGTGCAGAGAGCTCCCGCTCTGTGCGGGGTCTGGGGAAGGGTGTCAGTGGCAAGCCTTACCCTCGCCTGTGCAATGCGAGGAGACCGCGACTCGAACCCAGGACCTTCCGGTCACAGGCGGTAAGACTCTACCGCTTGCACCAGGCCCGCCCTTCGAGGATCAGAGAGAAAGGCAGGCTTGAAAACAAAAAGGTCAGTCCTCACCAGGAAGTGAAGAACTAAAACTTCTAATATGGAGAGAACTATGGAATTTACATTGTGCTCCAAAGGTCAAACAATTTTTGTAGCACCTAGTCCATAACAGTCTTCCGCTACAAACAAACACAAACAGGAGAGGAATGTTGATAGATACCCGTTGCCGTGTATGTATAAGATTTGATGAAGATGGGCGACATTGCTTACAATAATGCAAACTGGTAAGGAGGTGTTGGAGACAACTACAATTGGAGAATACTCGTCTGGAGCTGCTTCATTTGGAGTTTCCTTATGCTGTTGTCAAATAAATTTTATAGATGGAAGAGCAACATTGACTGGAGATGATCTTACTCTTATGGAACTGGTGGAATGAGAGAAACAAGGTGTCATGTGCTGGGCCTCAGAATTCGCAAGCATGCAAATGGGCTAGGTGAGGGGCCTCTCGGCCCATGCGACCAAAGGATCAGCACTACAAGGAGAGTAGCTGCAATAGCAAAGGGATCATCAACAAACATGAACCAAAAGGTTGCAGCCTCTTCTCCCTCTCCTCGTTTTCTCTCTAATCCCCTTCCCCCGATGCTCTCCCTGTTATCCCCTTCCCCTGTTGTTGTAGAGTCTTTACCTCTAGTTCTCCAATTTACTCCAAATTGTATCTCGAATACTCTTGTATACAGTGAGATTTGGTTATGAATCCATGGTTGCTTGAAGTTGATCTGTGCATCCAGCAGGAGAATCAAGCAGGTTCGCAACACATGATTAACGCTGGAGAACTTGCAAGATCCTATGAAGAGGTGATTCATAGGAGCAGAAGCATGGTTGCAGAGACCAACTCCTTCCATCAGGAGAAGGAGCCAAAGCCTCGAAAGCCTAGTTTGCGCTGGTGCCCTCCACTGTACCAAGAGATAAAACTGAATATTGATGGAGCCTTCAACAGTGCTAGTAAACACAGGTGGGTGGGGCTTCATTTTACGTGACCACCGTGGTGTTGGGTACTTGGGTTAGTAATTGGACAGGTGGGTGGGGCTTCATTTTACGTGACCACCGTGGTGTTGGGTACTTGGGTTAGTAATTGGAGCGGGAAAGATTCAGTCAGTACATGATGCTCTTTGTGCTGAAGCAGAAGCTTACAGGGTTGCACTACAGGCGCTGCTGACATTTTTGAATTTCGCATACCAATGTTGAAACAGATTCAACTATGCTTGTGACAGCCCTGAAGTCAAGAATCTATGATCTCACCCCAGGAGGCACCCTCTTCACTATCTCGCGGCATCTGAAAGCAACTAGTTTTACTAGAGTGTATATCTCCTTTAGTCCTTTGCTTCTCGTTCATGTAATACTTGTGCTCACAGTTTAACTCATTTGGGCGTGAATTGGGATCCTGGTCAGTCTGCTGTTTGGACTGATCGCCTCCCAAGAGTTTGTAATGAGTCTTGTGGCCTGTCATCTCACTGGACATGTGGAGTAATAAAGCTACGAACTCATGACAAAACAAAACAGCCAGATTTCCTGATGCACATGTACTCCAAACTTAATTCTAGGCTCCCCGTAAGGCCTGATGGGATAGCATCATAGTAAAGCAACAAGAGGAATCTGAGAATGTAATGTAACCCATCTGAAAGACTGAGCTCTGACCTTGACGGCCGTCTCGATGAGGCTCTTGCGCTGCTGTGCGTCGGAGACGTGGCAGACGGCGCCCACCGCGGTGATACCCTTGGCCCTGAGCCCCTCCACCGCCTCGTTCACGTTCTTCTGCAACGCCCCACGAATCGATCCACAGAAACCCCCCAATCAGAACGAGCAGCAAGGGAAATCCCAAAGCGAGGACAGCAAGCAAGGAGGGTAGAAGGAAGAAACGACAAGATTTGCCGGCTCAGCTGGACCTGCTTGCGGGAGGAGATGACGACGGCGGCGCCCTCCAGGCCGAAGCGCTCGGCGATGGCGAGGCCGATCCCCTGCGTGGACGCCGTCACGACGGCCACCTTCCCCTCCAGACGCCGGCACTTGACATCCATCACCGCGCAGGCCGACCTTCAACTTCAAGGTCGCTCTCGTCCTCTCAAGTCCCAAACACGCCCAAACTTGCTGCTGGAGTGCTGGTACGGAATAGCCCCGTACAGCAAAGCGTACGGAGTATATGCTTTGGTTCCTGGATTCTTGGGACAAGAGTAGACAGGTCCATCAAGAAAACGGTGGGACCGAGGAAAGGATGGAAATCTTATGAAATCGAGTCATATTTTAATTCGAATTTGAATATGAACACATTCTTAGTATGAATACAAAACAAGTGTCTTGGACTCGGATTTTTATTTACATATTTACTCAATTCAACTCAAAGAGCATATTGTTAAATTCAACGTACATGAACAGAATTTTACTACTAAATTTATCAAAACCAAAGTGAATAAAATCAAAGTACAGTTCTAATAATCTCTAATATCAAAGTAAACTAAATCATAATAGATAATATTTTAATAAAATAATAGGTCAAATTAAGAAATTCAAATAAAAATAATAGACAACAACAAGTAGCCATTTTGCTGCTGTACAGCAGAGACGGACAGTAATAGAATTTCCCACAAAACAGGAGTACTCTGTTCGTCTAGAATTTCTATATATAGGACCAATTAGCGTTCAGTTAAAATTACCTATGCACATCTATTTATTATGGGCGTGTAGCTCAGTTGGCTAGGAGCCTATTTCGGTAGGACTGAAAAATAAGTCAAAATACTGTTTCAGCTGATTGTTATGAGAGAAAAATATTGTTCTGTTTGGAAACACTGTTCACATGAATAATACTTTCGTGAGTGGGCTGGCCGGCCAGCCAGCCACCAGCCAGCTAGCCAAAAACCCCGTATGTTCTTTGTGGTGTAATCTATCCACCAGGATTCAAGTTTTCGACCAGGCATAAGTACTCACATTTTTCTGTATTTATTTTAGGATTTAACGGGCATTGTGTTTTCAGTGGTAGACGACGTTTCTGTCGACAGCGAGACGCCTATAATGACTTCATCAATCTCGAGATCTATCGATATAGTCTTTCGAAGGTGTTCATAGGGGTCAACAGCGAGGCGTCTATGATAACTTTATCAATCTCAAGATCTGGCCAGTGTAGTCTTTCGGAGATATTCATAGAGATAAGATTTACGTGCGTTGATTTATAAGAGTGCGTCTGCGATGTGAACGTCTGAGTCAGTACTGTGTAATTAAAAAAAGGCCAAATCACCGGCTGACTCGGATTTTAGCCGATGCGGACGAGAGAGGAATTCAAATATCATTCTCGCTACCGACGTGAGAATCACTAGTCTATTTGTTTCTACCGAGGCAAGCTGGCCCACCACGTGAAGCTTTACCTCTACCGGTGAGTGGGGAAAGATGAAAAAAACTGACGCGTGGGGTTCAAGTTCTTTGATAAATGTGTAACCAAATAGAGCAATGAATTTTTATGTCATACTGTCGACGATGTGGAAACCAAATGCTAGCAAGCTAGCTCTACTGTTTGGGACGCCCTAAGTTGATCTATATTGCATGTTAACCGTAATCTCAAGCTGGTATGTATCCGGTCTAGATCCAAAACCTAAAACATTGATTGTTTAGATAAATTTTAAATCCTAAAATATCAACTTTTCAAGGACCGAGAGAGTAGTAGCTAAGAGCATTTTCAAGAGTTTTTTTTAAAGTTCACACTCTAAATCATCATTTAAATGAAAAATCATTTTTTTATCTTTATTCTCTCGGATAATTTTTCTATATCTTGTGTGCTACAGAGTGTCATTCTCGTTTTCTATCTTTGTGTAGTGAGAAATCCGAATTAGAAGATGGATATATCTAGATAACCAAATAAAAAAGTTGTTGGAGGGTATTTTTTCATAAAATTTTTATTCCTAACAATTAGGAGGATATAGATTGTGTCTTGGAGTTGCTCTAATAGGTTAACTGCTAATAGCATCTCCAAGAGACTCTTTATATCTTTCGTAATTACAGGAATGAAGATTTTGGTGAAGAAATACCCTCCACCAACCTCTTCAATTGGATATCTAAATATAGATATCCTTTATTCTGGATTAACCGCTAGGTAAAGATAGAGAGTAAGAATGGTTCTTTAGACTGTGCACAAAATATAGAAAAGTTGTTGTAGGATATAAAGATATAGAAAATGCTTTTTTTACTCAAAATGGCTCTCCAAATAATTTTAGAGAATATATTTTAGAAAGGCTATTGGAGATGCTCTAAGAATCTCTCCAATAACTTCTTTATTTGGTTATTCAAATCTAGCCATCTTCTATTCCGAATTTCTTGCTAGACAAAGATAAAAAATAAAAATGACTCTCTAGAGTGCACACAAGATATAGAAAAAACATTAGAAAGCGAAAAGATATAGAAAGTGAATTTATATATGACTATTTAAATAATGATTTAGAGAGTGAGTTTTAAGAAGACTCTTGGAGATGCCCTAATAGGTTAACAACTAAAAGGATATTGTTTGGTAAAACATATTACATTTTCAAATTTGTAGGGTTTATTTGGCTAATCCTCGGTTCTGAGTAAAGTGTACAAAGGGGATTGAGAAAGATTTTTACTTATAGTGGATTGAATCCCTATAATCCCCTAAATAAAATTGGAGATTAACCGAAAGTCCTTAGCAAGATAGAAAAATCTCCGTGTCCTAGAGCATCTCAAGTAATTCCTAAAAAAAACTATTTGCCAAATTAATGAGTATTTTTCAAGTGGCCAAAAATACAAAGCTTATAACATATCCAACAATACTAAAAAATAATTCAAAAATATCTGATTTTGTAACGTTACTAAAAACTATTGGAAAAAAAAAAATGACATTATCAACAACAGTTTTCAATAATTTTCTCCCCCAGAGTAAAAAAGCAGGCCTACTAGAAGATTTATGGTGGTCACCTACACCACACCAACGCAGCCGCATTGTGGCCTCACAACAAGCCATCTAGCACCTGACTCACATCCAGAACCTCCAAAATGAATTTTTCGTTACCTGCTCTACCTCTCAATATCTCAGATCTGAAATTAGTGTTCGAAGATCCAATTGCGGCAAACCTCCTATATAGCGACGAGAGCAACTGTGACTGCCATATATAGGAGGTTCCCAAGAATCTGTATTGACTGATCTACTTCCCTGTACAAATAAGCTGAAAATTTGATTCTTGGGAACCTTCAAACAACGGCAGTCGGGACGAAGGAGTGTGGAAGAAAAAAATCACTCCCAACAGCCCACATGATAGGGAGTAACAGTCCATCGCGTACTTTTGCACATGGATGTCTTTGTTTTCCCCAGCGTGAATTGATTGAGACTGTTAGATTTTACATGTATTGACTTGCGTGTGTATATGTCTTGGGCCTGAGCCTGGTTTAGACGGCCGGCCCTAGTTGATTAGAGAGATACGAGGAGATCTCGTTTCACGCTGTTTCTATGAACCACGATATATAGAGAACTACTACCCTATAGCTGGCTACAAAATAACTTATTCTGTAGCCATTTTGAGTTATAATAATTACTATGTTAATTTATAAGATTATAGTAACTCCTTACTAAGTGGTTTACTATAATGTTATGATAAATATTCCATGTGTTATAGTAACCCAACTATCGTAAATATGTATTGACATTATCGTAAATTAGTATATAAAATTATCGTAAATGGAGGTAGTTAAAGAATAACTTATTTTGTAGCTAGCTACTGAATATACTCTCCCTATATATATATATAATCCTCTCTTAATCAATCTAATACAATATTTCACACAATCCTTATTGCTTTCATGGTATCAAGAGATTAGGTTTTCACCTTTCCTTCCTGGCCGCCGCCTCCCCTGTGCGTGCCCGTCACTACCTCCCCTGTGCGCACGCACGCACTGCCATGGCTGCTCCTCCCATCGCCCCTGCCCCTGTCGCTCCTGCTGCCACTTCCGTGGTCATCAACGACGATGCGGACGCTATGACTGCCGCTTAGTAGGCTGAAGCCGCTCACCAGGCCAAGGAAGACACCGAGCACCAGTGAAAGCCCTAATTTAGTTTTAGATAATTGATGAAACCTATTAGACTAATCCTCGGTTTAAGTGTGTAGACATGTTAGGATGGTCCAAGACCAAGTGATAGAGCAAGATAAAGTTCATGGCGATGATGGTGGACATGTGATGATGAACAAGCTCTAAACTTAGAAAAGAAGAAAGAGAAAAACAAAATGGGCTCAAGGCAAAGGTATATTTGATAGGGCCATTTTGTTTTTGCCACTCAAGACACCTAGTGGGTGTGAGTGGGTTTAGGATATATAGCCGTACTATTAAGAGGGGTGATCTCGACGTAAATACGGTTGTCTAAGTGCCACTAGGTGATCAGATACTTGCATATGCATTAGGACCTAGTGTGCTAACTTAACACCCTTGAAAAATCTTTTAAAATATGCTAACACACGTGTACAAAGGTGAGACACAATGTGTTTAGCACTAGGAAGCAAGGGTAAAGAAGTTGGAGTTGAAAAGGAGAAGAAAAGGTGGATCGGACCTGGGATTTTTAACTTGTTGCCATCCTTACGGATGGCACTCTTTCGTTTGCCACATTTGTGCGCGCCTACACATTTGTCATTGCAAACAGTAACCCTCCTATGTTTTTGCCATTTTTGCTAAGGTGGCATGCCAGATGGGCACGCCAGCATGGCAGGGAGCCTGGGAGCCCTAACTTGGCACGCGAAATGACCACACTGCCCTCGCCTCCTTCTTCTTCTGCTCCACTGGCCCGGCCGAAGTCAAACCAGTCCACTCCCCTTCTTCCCCACTCTGGCGACAATGATCATGGGGTGCAGTGACGCGGGCAATGACGGCAGCGACATCGAGTCTCTTTCCCCTTCCTTGGACGCAAGACGACCATACTAGGTACTGCCCGCACTCCCCTAAACCCTATTTCCCTAGTTGATCCTCGTCCTCCATGCATCCCATGGCTCGGAGGGCGGAGCCCTCTTCGTCAAGGAGCATGGCGTCGTGGGCTATC